CTAAACACCCACATAGAAAGGTTCCCAGTGAGCACAAGCGACCACCTACCAATAATAATGACGCTATCAACTAACCCCATTCAGAAACCCTCACCACCAAGACTTCAATACACTAAAACTGACTGGGAAGCGTTCAAAAGCAGTGCACAGGAAATCAGTGTCACAGACTTTAATGGAAAGGAAACATCATGCATAAACGCTGAGTTAAATACATGGATTAGCACCATAGAAAAATGCATGAATGATCACATCCCCGTAGCTCACCATATAACGCTCCCACACCCCCCCAGCCACTGAGGCGCTCAGGACACAACAAACCAGATATAACAACCTTCTACAACTCATAACACAACACGGGTGGACGGATGAGCGCAAAAGACTACAAAAGGAACTACAAGATGAGCTGCAAGATCTATGCAAAACAGAGTACACCAAACAATGGGATGACCTAATAAGCAAAATCCAAGTTGACTACAGAAACCCAGGAAAGTTCTGGAAAAAAGTAAAGACCCTGATGGGAAGCTCTTCTGAGGAAACACCCTACATCATAGACGCCTCAGGAAACACCCTACATCATAGACGCCTCAGGAAACACCCTACATCATAGACGTCTCAGGAAACACCCTACATCATAGACGCCTCAGGAAATAAACTCTACGAGGAGAGAGAACAAGAGCAGGAATTCAGGAAGTTCTGGGAAAAAATATTCAGAATAAAGAAAGAAAGAAACCCGGAAGAAAATTTAAATTTTTGCCCCATTAATGAAAGGGAAATTACAACTCAAGTCGATAACAGAGCTGCAGCATTACTCCCGACGCAAACAATAGACCTTAACAACATACGCGATGACTGCCATCTTATTTATTTATTTATTTATTTATTTATTTATTTATTTATGCATATACAAGAATGTACATAAGGAATGTGAGGATACAAATATGGTAATTACAGTCTTGTAAAGCCACTAGCACGCGCAGCGTTTCGGGCAGGTCCTTAATCTAAGAAAATTTTAAGGAGGTAAATACTTGCAAAAATTATAGACAAAAAAATGATAACAGATTACATGAAATGAAAAAAAGATGAGAGAAAATTGTAGGTACAGTATATTAAAGCACATAGGTAGCTGAGATTGATTGCAATGACAGCTTGAATGGTAGTTGACAAAAAATTGGCAGGCACAATACAGCAGAAACATTATAAGATTGGTTGCAATGACAGCTTGAATGGTAGTTGACAAAAATTGGTAGTCACAATACAGCATATGGCTAGCACATAGAAGAAGACAGCAATGAACACAATGATAAGGTTGTTTGATATTACATAAAAATTAGGAGATTGGGTAACACTAGGTACAGAGCAAATTTAAAGCTCAGTGTAGGAAACTAAGAAGATGAAGTTAGGTACTTTTGGTTTTGCTTTTAAATAAGGCAAAAGTTTTACAGTTTTTCAATTCACTAGGGAGTGAGTTCCATAGACTAGGTCCCTTAATTTGCATAGAGTGTTTACACAGATTAAGTTTGACCCTGGGGATATCAAAGAGATATTTATTTCTGGTGTGGTGATAATGGGTCCTATTACATCTGTCCAGGGAGAGTTTCAGAGCATGGTTTGCATTTAAGAACAGGGTTTTGTAAATGTAGTTGACACAAGAGAATGTGTGGAGGGAGTTAATATTTAGCAAGTTCAGGGATTTAAACAATGGAGCTGAGTGTTGTCTGAAAGCAGAGTTAGTTATTATTCTGATAGCAGATTTTTGCTGTGTGATGATGGGCTTAAGGTGGTTTGCAGTGGTAGACCCCCATGCACAGATACCATAATTAAGATAGGGGTAGATTAGTGCATAATATAGTGAGAGGAGAGCAGAGTTAGGTACATAATATCTTATTTTGGAGAGTATACCAACTGTCTTAGAGACTTTCTTAGTGTTGAATGTGGGTGCTGAAGTTGAGTCTCTTGTCTAGGAATAGGCCAAGAAACTTGCCATCATTTTTATTACTGATGTTGATGTTGTCTATCTGTAGCTGAATTGCATTTGATGATTTGCTTCCAAATAAGATGTAGTAAGTCTTTTCGATGTTTAATGTTAGTTTGTTCGTTGACATCCATAAGTGGACTTTTTTTAATTCATTATTCACAACATTATTTAGTGTATGTGGGTTGAGGTTTGAATAGATAAGAGTAGTATCGTCAGCAAACAGTATAGGTTTGAGAATATTAGAGACATTAGGCAGATCGTTTATATATATAAGAAATAGAAGAGGTCCTAAGATGCTGCCCTGTGGCACTCCAACGGTAATTGGTAGAGTGGAAGAAGTTGTATCATTGATGGTTACATATTACATTATGAAACACATAACCATTGCAGAGGTTCATAAAACAATTATGGGTTTCAAGAACAAGGCGCCGGGCAACAGCAAGATAAATAAGATGGTATTATCCAACCTACCAGTGATTGCATTCCATCAATACACATGTATAATAAATGCAGCTCTTGCATCTGGACTATTCCCCACATACTTCAAGAATGCCACAACAAGATTAATCCCCAAGCCAGGTAAACCCCCAACCCAAACTGAAAACTACAGGCTAATTTCCCTCCTCGAAGTACCAGGTTAAATATTCGAAAAAATAATCAATCAGAGACTTGTGAAGTACATGGGGGAGGAAGGGAAGTATAACACCAGGCAGCATGGGTTTAGACACCACAGAAGGGCCCATACAGCTATAGCCCTGATCTACCAGCATATAGTCAACGCTGTGTCGAAAAACGATCAGTGTAATATAGTGCTTAGAAACGTTTCGAAAGCCTTCGACAAAGTGTGGCACACAGGCCTAAAATATAAGATATCTGAGCTAGGACTTCCTGAGAGATTTACTGCTACTCTCTGCAGCTTAATAGACAACAGAACTGCTAGGCTTAATAACGGCAGCTACTTGGGTGATGTAATAGAACTGAAAAGTGGAGTACCACAAGGAAGCTGTCTCTCCCCCACTCTATTCAACATATATACAGCTGACCTACCCCAACCCCAACATGGAGAATACATCACATACGCTGACGATGTCACCCAAATAATTTGCCAACCGGGACCATCAAAGCCGCTACTAGCCGACAAGAGCAAGGCAGCAATTGAATTCATAAACAACTTTGAGGAGCAATGGAAAATTAACACCAACAAACAAAAGTTTCAGATAATACACATTGCGAAAAGAAACCCGTACCCCATCATCCTTGATAACCATCCGATCCAATATGCGGAGGTAGGCAGAATACTGGGACTGATGATAAATAGAACAGGGATACAAACTCATGTAAGGGACCGACTAAACAAAGCCAAAGCAGCCTTAAGAAAATTGAGGAGATTCCGCAGCCTCAGTACTAACATTCAGATTCACCTATATAAGGCTCTAGTTCGGCCGCATCTAGAATATCCCCCAGTACCACTACACACCATAAAGAAAACTAACAGGCAGAAATTGCAAGCAGTGCATAATAAGGCGCTAAGGAGAGCAGAAAAACACCGTCCACCATATGATCAGACAATCCAGGAGCTCCATGAACTGAACATACAGCCACTAAACATCAGACTGCAGCACCAAGCCATCAGGGTGTGGAACACCATCGAAATGTTAGAGGACCCAATGTTAGAAAGATTGCTCCAAGATGAGACGCCCCGCTCCCACAGCTGGTGGACCAAGATGAGACGCCCCGCTCCCACAGCTGGTGGCCCAAGATGAGACGCCCCGCTCCCACAGCTGGTGGCCCAAGATGAGACGCCCCGCTCCCACAGCTGGTGGCCCAAGATGAGACGCCCCGCTCCCACAGCTGGTGGCCCAAGATGAGACGCCCCGCTCCCACAGCTGGTGGCCCAAGATGAGACGCCTCGCTCCCACAGCTGGTGGCCCAAGATGAGACGCCCCACTCCCACAGCTGGTGGCCCAAGATGAGACGCCCCGCTCCCACAGATGGTGGCCCAAGATGAGACGTCCCGCTCCCACAGCTGGTGGCCCAAGAGCCTCGATTCACTAGATGAAAACCCCGCCCCACAGTACATAATTCCCAGATGAAATACTGACCAGTATTTCACATGGTGAAACACATGTGAAGAACCTCTCACACACTCACAGCTCCCTGACAAGAGGGAGCCAGCTTAGCTTAGCTTAGCTGCCAACACCCACACATCGTGTCAGCAAGGCGGACAGCCCGCCTGCTTTCATACCTCTCACTGTACTTCCCACTTCTACACTTCCCTTCACCTATGCCTCTCCTCCCTCTTTACTCCCTCCCCCCCCCAAAAAAAAAATGTTGGAGGAGTGGGGAGGAGGAGGCGGGAGTGTTGGAAGAGGGGCGGGGGTGTTGGAGGATGGGGCGGGGGTGTTGGAGGAGTGGGGATGTTCAAGTTCAAGTTCAAGTATGTTTATTGAGACAAGAAAAAATACATCTCAAAGGGATAGAGTAGCTTAGGCTATTTCTACCCTCCTCTACTTCAAGTCCCTCAAGGGGCGCACAAATTCAGTGAGTACAGATACACAAATCACAATACAACATTTAACATTGCAGATTAATATAGTAAGTGTTACAATCATAACACTTGACCTGATCAACCAGGCTGTGACTCATACGTCAGGCTGCGAGCAGCCGCGTCCAACAGCCTGGTTGATCAGTCCAGCAACCAGGAGGCCTGGTCGACGACCGGGCCGCGGGGACACTAAGCCCCGGAAGCACTTCAAGGTAGGTAATCATTGGGGCAAAATTCTTGTAGTTCCTAAGTATTCTGTCTATCATATCATTATCATACATCGTGGGGATGTTTAGTGTTCTATTTATCATAAGTCCCAGTATTCTGCCTATCTCCGCATATTGGATCGGTCGTCAAGGGTGGGAGCGGCGGGGTGGGGGTAGGGTCTGGGATGGTGGCGGTCGTCAAGGGATGGAGGGGAGACTGGGGGGATAGAGGCATGGGGAGGGTGGCGGTCGTCAAGGGAGGGATCGGCTAGGTGGGGGTGGGTTCCTTAGGGAGAGGGGCAGGGGTTGGTGGTGGTCGTCAAGAGAGGGAGAGTGAGTGAGCGTGGAGGCAGTGTGAGCCGGGAAGCAGGCGTGTGGTGGTGCTGCTGCTGGCACTCTGGTAAGATATTATAGCTCCTGTACAACCTTCGCCAGGTGGTGTTCACGCACCATCTGGCTGTAGTAGAGCAGGCGGCCTCTTATAACAGCCAGGAGTTTCCAGTGAAGTGAGAGTATAGTACACTAGGAATGTGTTCACCAGTAGCGTCTATGTAATACATCTAGGAAACAGTCTCCTGGTTGAACCCGCAGACACACAACGAAATTTCAGCTGTAGCACATTCCCGGGATGATTACACGACAGGCCGCTGTCTTCCCTGTCCCCGCCGAGGCTACATATAACCAAGGCGTTAATATATCGGCCTCATCAAGTAGAATATATCATCTTTCTTCATCTTAATTAACAGCAAATGTGCCGTTAATATTATATACTGTAAAATTAATATGTAATATATGCATCAGCAACAAAAATAATATTAATATATAGACATAAAAAAATAATAAAATAAGAGTAACGATTGCAGGCGATGAGTGACAATAACGCGGCTAAAGTAATTTGACCAGACCACACACTAGAAGGTGAAGGGACGACGACGTTTCGGTCCGTCCTGGACCATTCTCAAGTCGATTGTGGTCCAGGTCGAATGAACCAGGTCCTGGACGGACCGAAACGTCGTCGTCCCTTCACCTTCTAGTGTGTGGTCTGGTCAAAACAGTAACGATTAGTTACATTCTGGGGAAGGTCAGGATAGAGCAGTCGGACCTCACAGACCAGTACCACTGGTCCACGAGACCACTTACTGGTCCGTGAGGTCCCACAGGTCGCCGACCACTGACTCTAGTTGACTCATTGGGACCTTGATAAAGCTTCCTGTCCCTGACAAAGGAAATTTATTATATATTATATTTATATAAAATGATAATTAATAATTTTCATTATTAATTATCATTTTTAGAAAACTTCATATAGCTTGTTTAATTTAAAAAAATAATTATAATCTATTTATTGATTATAAATATTATCCCAAAATGTGCAACTTTATACACTTGTTAAAACTATTGGCCGAACCTTGCGCTTTATTGACGTCTGGATAAAATATTCATACACTGCACGTATATATATACTAGTAACAACTGCATTGAGACTATACAGCCCATAGTGACTAATTTCACTATGGGCTCACCATAGCCCGTGCTACTTGCCCCGCTCCTGTGCCAGTAAGTTACGGGCTCACCATAGCCAGTGCTACTTGGAACTTGTTCCAAGTAGCTGAATCTATAACAACAACATGCAATGAGACACTGTATTCAATCGTCACCATCAATCATGATGATCAATTATCCCCCTCGTCCGTAGCGGGTACTGTACGTGTATAGTGACTCGTACTGTACGTGTATAGTGACTCGTACTGTACGTGTATAGTGACTCGTACTGTACGTGTGTAGTGACTCGTACTGTACGTGTATAGTGACTCGTACTGTACGTGTATAGTGACTCGTACTGTACGTGTATAGTGACTCGTACTGTACGTGTATAGTGACTCGTACTGTACGTGTATAGTGACTCGTACTGTACGTGTATAGTGACTCGTACTGTACGTGTATAGTGACTCGTACTGTACGTGTATAGTGACTCGTACTGTACGTGTGTAGTGACTCGTACTGTACGTGTGTAGTGACTCGTACTGTACGTGTATAGTGACTCGTACTGTACGTGTATAGTGACTCGTACTGTACGTGTATAGTGACTCGTACTGTACGTGTATAGTGACCCGTACTGTACGTGTATAGTGACCCGTACTGTACGTGTATAGTGACCCGTACTGTACGTGTATAGTGACCCGTACTGTACGTGTATAGTGACTCGTACTGTACGTGTATAGTGACTCGTACTGTACGCGTCCAGCCGTGAGAGGTGAGGATGGCAGCCAGTGTTGTGAGGTGAGGATGGCAGCCAGTGTTGTGAGGTGAGGATGGCAGCCAGTGTTGTGAGAGGTGAGGATGGCAGCCAGTGTTGTGAGGTGAGGATGGCAGCCAGTGTTGTGAGGTGAGGATGGCAGCCAGTGTTGTGAGGTGAGAATGGCAGCCAGTGTTGTGAGGTGAGGATGGCAGCCAGTGTTGTGAGAGGTGAGGATGGCAGCCAGTGTTGTGAGGTGAGGATGGCAGCCAGTGTTGTGAGAGGTGAGGATGGCAGCCAATGTTGTGAGAGGTGAGGATGGCAGCCAGTGTTGTGTGAGGTGAGGATGGCAGCCAGTGTTGTGAGAGGTGAGGATGGCAGCCAGTGTTGTGTGAGGTGAGGATGGCAGCCAGTGTTGTGAGAGGTGAGGATGGCAGCCAGTGTTGTGAGAGGTGAGGATGGCAGCCAGTGTTGTGAGAGGTGAGGATGGCAGCCAGTGTTGTGTGAGGTGAGGATGGCAGCCAGTGTTGTGAGAGGTGAGGATGGCAGCCAGTGTTGTGAGAGGTGAGGATGGCAGCCAGTGTTGTGAGAGGTGAGGATGGCAGCCAGTGTTGTGAGGTGAGGATGGCAGCCAGTGTTGTGAGAGGTGAGGATGGCAGCCAGTGTTGTGTGAGGTGAGGATGGCAGCCAGTGTTGTGAGAGGTGAGGATGGCAGCCAGTGTTGTGAGAGGTGAGGATGGCAGCCAGTGTTGTGAGAGGTGAGGATGGCAGCCAGTGTTGTGAGAGGTGAGGATGGCAGCCAGTGTTGTGAGAGGTGAGGACGGCAGCCAGTGTTGTGAGAGGTGAGGATGGCAGCCAGTGTTGTGAGAGGTGAGGATGGCAGCCAGTGTTGTGAGAGGTGAGGATGGCAGCCAGTGATGTGAGAGGTGAGGATGGCAGCCAGTGTTGTGAGAGGTGAGGATGGCAGCCAGTGATGTGAGAGGTGAGGATGGCAGCCAGTGTTGTGAGAGGTAAGGATGGCAGCCAGTGTTGTGAGAGGTGAGGATGGCAGCCAGTGTTGTGAGAGGTGAGGATGGCAGCCAGTGTTGTGAGAGGTGAGGATGGCAGCCAGTGTTGTGAGGTGAGGATGACAGCCAGTGATGTGAGAGGTGAGGATGGCAGCAGTGTTGTGAGGTGAGGATGGCAGCCAGTGATGTGAGAGGTGAGGATGGCAGCCAGTGTTGTGAGGTGAGGATGGCAGCCAGTGTTGTGAGGTGAGGATGGCAGCCAGTGATGTGAGAGGTGAGGTGGTTCATTTCTTCAGCTCGGTTTACAGTGTCCCCTTTGGGCCTTGATTGCTTTTGTAAGGGTCTGTTTTTGCTCTTTTTCACATCCTGTTGTGGTGTGGGTGAGCTTTATGCCTTTTTCTGATTGATTCCTTGGTAGCTCCATTTCAGCTCTTCTCTTTTTACTTTGGTGTTTGAAGGTTGTTGTATGGGCGACACATGAATGAGGGAGTTTGCTGGTCAATGCCTTTGGTACCGCCATGTGGTGGTGAGTGTTCTAACCAGTGTGGTTATTGTTATAGATTCAGCTACTCGGAACAAGTTCCAAGTAGCACGGGCTATGGCGAGCCCGTAACTTACCTGGCACAGGAGCGGGGCAAGTAGCACGGGCTATGGTGAGCCCGTAACTTACTTGGCACAGGAGCGGGGCAAGTAGCACGGGCTATGGTGAGCCCGTAACTTACTTGGCACAGGAGCGGGGCAAGTAGCACGGGCTATGGTGAGCCCGTAACTTACTTGGCACAGGAGCGGGGCAAGTAGCACGGGCTATGGTGAGCCTGTAACTTACCTGGCACAGGAGCGGGGCAAGTAACACGGGCTATGGTGAGCCCGTAACTTACCTGGCACAGGAGCGGGGCAAGTAACATGGGCTATGGTGAGCCCGTAACTTACCTGGCACAGGAGCGGGGCAAGTAACACGGGCTATGGTGAGCCCGTAACTTACCTGGCACAGGAGCGGGGCAAGTAACACGGGCTATGGTGAGCCCGTAACTTACCTGGCACAGGAGCGGGGCAAGTAACACGGGCTATGGTGAGCCCGTAGTGGACTTACCTGGCACAAGAGCGGGGCTGTGTGTGCTAACCAGTGGTTGCTTAACAGTTGTTAATGAACGGATGCATGATTTGTTTGGGTTGCCAATGTTGTTGCTTATTCTGTTGTGCTCTTTTTTTCTGGTGATTATCCTTTGGATTTGCTGTTGTGGTATAGAACTCTCAAACTCCTCTTTCCTCTATTGAGGGGGGTCTGCGTTGCGTCCTGGCTTTTGGTAGGCTCTAATTGTGCGTAGAATTTCTATTTCTTATATATATCAATGATCTGCCTAATGTCTCTAATATTCTTAAACCTATATTATTTGCTGATGATACTACCCTCATCTATTCAGACCCCAACCCACATACACTAAATAATGTTGTGAATAATGAATTAAAAAAAGTCCACTTATGGATGTCAACCAACAAACTAACACTAAACATAGAAAAGACCTACTACATCTTATTTGGAAGGAAATTATCGATTGCAATTCAGCTACAGATAGTCAACATTAACATCAGTAATAAAAATGATGGAAAGTTTCTTGGCCTATTCCTAGACAAGAGACTCAACTTCAGTACCCACATTCAACACATAACTAAGAAAGTCTCTAAAACAGTTGGTATACTCTCCAAAATAAGATATTATGTTCCTGACTCTGCTCTCCTCTCACTATATTATGCACTAATCTACCCCTATCTTAATTACAGTATCTGTTCATGGGTGTCTACCACTGCAAACCACCTTAAGCCCATCATCACCCAGCAAAAATCTGCTATCATAATAATAACTAACTCTGCTTTCAGACAACACTCAGCTCCCTTGTTTAAATCCCTGAACTTGCTAAATATTAACTCCCTCCACACATTCTCTTGTGTCAACTACATTTACAAAACCCTGTTCTTAAATGCAAACCATGCTCTGAAATTCTCCCTGGACAGATGTAATAGAACCCATTATCACCACACCAGAAATAAATATCTCTTTGATATCCCCAGAGTCAAACTTAATCTGTGTAAACACTCTATGCAAATTAAGGGACCTAGTCTATGGAACTCACTCCCTAGTGAATTGAAAAGCTGTCAAACTCTTGCCTCATTTAAAAACAAAAACAAAAAGTACCTAATTTCATCTTAGTAGTTTCCTACACTGAGCTGTAAATTTGCTCTGTACCTAGTGTTACCAAATCTCCCAATCTTTATGTACTTAACCCAAACAACTTTTTCATTGTGTTGCTGTCTTCTTTTATGTGCTAGCCATATGCTGTATTGTGCCTACTAATTTTTTTGTTAAACTACCATTCAAGCTGTCATTGCAATCAATCTGAGCTACCTATGTGCTTTAATATACCTACAATTTTCTCCCATCTTTTATTTTTTTCTTGTTATGTAACTTTTATCATTTTTATAAATTTTGCAAATATTTACCTACTTAAAATTTTCTTAGATTAAGGACCTGCCCAAAATGCTGTGCGTACTAGTGGCTTTACAAGAATGTAAATACTACTATGTATCCTCACAATCCCAATGTACCTTCTTGTATATATATAAATAAATAAATAAATAAATAAAAACATGGTGTGATACCCAAGGTTTGGTGGCTCCCAGGTGGGTAGCTCAGGGTGGTGGGTTCACTGAGGACCCACCAGAAAGAAAGCTTTATTACATTAAATGCTGGATTTATTTTTGGGTTCTTAAAATTTTTAAAGATAAAAATAAAGTACTGTACTAGATCAATTATAAAATTAGTGTTTTAAAAGTTAAAAAAAAATAACTTAACATACAGTATTTACCATTCATAATGATAAAAATATATTTCAGATTTAAACTTCAAAAGTGCTGGTACTCGTAAATAGGACATGATGAATTGGCATTTAGTGGTAGTAGCTCTAGTGGCTGCTGTTGTTGTCGAGGCCAGAGGACCATTCCTTAATATGTTCCCTAATCATGGAAACTTGACTGTTCCTCCGTCTCTGTGGGATGATGTTGGGAGCCCTCTCTTCTTAACACCACTGCTGGAAGCTGGTAAAATTAAGGTATGAACAGTGAAGAGCTTCATGTTTGTGCATGAGAAATGGAAGTTAAATACTTATTGAAAGGGTCATATATTTGTATTTTGTATTATTATTATTATTATTATTATTACACAGAGAGTAATCACACTAATGTGTAATTATCCCACATCTGCGGTTTGTTGTTCCCACTCTGCTTATGGCGCCTGGGCAGTTGAAAGTCGATCATTCTTTTCTCACTTTTTTGGGCGTTTTTCATTTAGTTAATGCACTCTTGTTCTTATCTGCAACTCAGTTGCTCACTTTTGTGTGACATATTTTGTGAGGTGTGGGTTATGTCTGCTATGAAAGGGGTGGGGGAGGTATGTGAATTGGTGTGTGTTTCCCTCATCACTGTCGAGGTGTCGTCAGTAAATTTTGGTAAGTTTGTACTCGCTTCATTGTACTCTACTAATTGTGCTTGCGCTTCAACTCTTTGGGCTCGCCTCTCACCCGTCATTCTACTGGTGTGCACATTCCTAAGTTTCTTGATCTGCGTTTCTACGTTTGCATCCTTCTCATCACTGCCTCCTATATTTCCTTTCCTTACTACCCTGCCTCTGGACAAGTTCCTTTTTATGCCTCTGTGACTCCTTTGGGTACTCAGTTACCACCTGTGTCCCATTATGGGTGTACCAATTGTATTGATTCATCCATCTTTTTCTACCCTGCCCGTTCTCCTGAGAAATTGTGGGGGTTGTTATGTCTCCCAGTCTTGTGTTCCCAGGTCAGTCTTATCTTGTGTACAAGACTGTGGTAGTTCTGTATATTATTACCTCAGTCTTGTGTTCACAGACTGTGGTCATTAGCGTGATTTCATTATTTTATGGGCACCGATTTTGTGCCTAGCGACCATGACCTGTATGCTCGACTGGCTCCCAGGCCTACGGCCCATGGTATCCTGTCAGTATTACAGCCGTTTTAGCTGTTGGGTTCATTTTTATCCCCACTCATAAATTTATTTTTTATCCCCACCCCCAAATTGTTATTTTTATCACCCCCATTTTCGTTTATCCTCCTTCCCCCCCCCCCCAAAAAAAAAAAAAAAAACTGGCGTCTGGTTCATACCCCAGTGTCCTTGAGTCGGTTGCTGCATCTCCGGCTTCCTCTTTGGGTTTTTGGGGTTCGGTGGCCATGACGGCTCCTTCTTCGGGTTTTTGGGGTTTGGCGCTATGGCGCCATCCTTTTCCCCTCGCTCGATGTGTTCACAAATGCCTCATCTCTCGGTGGGGGCTTTGTGACCAGCGCTCCACAGGCCGGCCAGGGGCATTGGGTGCCATCCTCCCTTCGAGCTCACAGTACGGTGCTGCTGTGTGGCAGGTGCTGCGACGGATCTGGCTTCCTCGGGGCTCAGTGATCTACCTCTATTTGGACTACTCCCCGTGGTTCATTGCCTCTACCTGGGAGGGGGGGTTTCTTCGGTTCGTGGCTTTGGGGCTGGTCGGGTAATTCTGCTGAGTTCTCGGTAATTACCTAAGTGTAGTTACAGGATGAGAGCTACGCTCGTGGTGTCCCGTCTTCCCAGCACTCTTTGTCATATAACGCTTTGAAATTACTGACGGTCTTGGCCTCCACCACCTCACTTAACTTGTTCCAACCGTCTACCACTCTATTTGCGAAGGTGAATTTTCTTATATTTCTTCGGCATCTGTGTTTAGCTAGTTTAAATCTATGACCTCTTGTTCTTGAAGTTCCAGGTCTCAGGAAGTCTTCCCTGTCGATTTTGTCAATTCCTGTTACTATTTTGTATGTAGTGATCATATCACCTCTTTTTCTTCTGTCTTCTAGTTTTGGCATATTTAATGCTTCTAACCTCTCCTCGTAGCTCTTGCCCTTCAGTTCTGGGAGCCACTTAGTAGCATGTCTTTGCACCTTTTCCAGTTTGTTGATGTGCTTCTTAAGATATGGGCACCACACAACAGCTGCATATTCTAGCTTTGGCCTAACAAAAGTCATGAACAATTTCTTTAGTATATCGCCATCCATGTATTTAAATGCAATTCTGAAGTTAGAAAGCATAGCATAGGCTCCTTGCACAATATTCTTTATGTGGTCCTCAGGTGATAGTTTTCTATCTAGAACCACTCCTAGATCTCTTTCTTTATCAGAATTCTTTAAAGATTTCTCACATAATATATAGGTTGTGTGGGGTCTATGTTCTCCTATTCCACATTCCATAACATGACATTTATTAACATTAAATTCCATTTGCCAAGTGGTGCTCCATATACTTATTTTGTCCAGGTCTTTTTGAAGGGCATGACAGTCATCTAAATTTCTTATCCTTCCTATTATCTTAGCATCATCAGCAAACATGTTCATATAATTCTGTATACCAACTGGTAGATCATTTATGTACACAATAAACATCACTGGTGCAAGAACTGAACCCTGTGGTACTCCACTTGTGACATTTCTCCATTCTGATACATTGCCTCTGATTACTGCCCTCATTTTTCTATCAGTCAGAAAATTTTTCATCCATGATAGAAGCTTACCTGTCACCCCTCCAATATTTTCCAGTTTCCAGAACAACCTCTTATGTGGAACTCTGTCGAAAGCCTTTTTTAGGTCCAGATAGATGCAGTCAATCCAACCATCTCTTTCCTGTAATATCTCTGTGGCTCGATCATAGAAACTGAGTAAATTCGATACACAGGATCTTCCAGATCGAAAACCATACTGTCTGTCTGATATTATATCATTTCTCTCTAGGTGTTCTACCCATTTAGTTTTGATTAGTTTTTCCAATACTTTCACTATTACACTTGTCAATGATACAGGTCTATAATTGAGGGGGTCTTCCCTGCTGCCACTTTTGTAGATTGGAACTATGTTAGCCTGTTTCCACCCGTCTGCTACGATTCCTGTACACAGGGATGCCTGAAAGATCAGGTGAAGTGGAATGCTGAGCTCAGATGCACATTCTCTCAGAACCCATGGTGAAACGCCATCTGGGCCAGCTGCTTTGTTCTTACCGAGCTCCTTGAGCATTTTTTCCACTTCGTCTCTAGACACCTCTATGTGCTCTATGTTGTTCTCTGGAATTCTTATTGTATCTGGTTCCCTAAAGATTTCATTTTGTACAAACACACTTTGGAACTTTTCGTTTAGTGTTTCACACATTTCCTTTTCATCTTCCGTGAATCTATTTCCCATTTTCAACCTCTGAATATTATCCTTTACCTGCAATTTGTTGTTTATGAATTTATAGAATAGACCTGGTTCTGTTTTACATTTGTCCGCAATCCCTTTTTCAAAATTTCTTTCTGCCTCTCTCCTCACTGCCGTGTAGTTGTTTCTCGCATCTTTGTATCGCTGGTATGTTTGGGGGTTCGGCCTCTTCCTGTATTGATTCCATTTTTGTGTCTTTCGGTCTCTAGCCCTCTCGCAATTTCTATTGAACCAATCCTGTTTCCTAGTTCTGCATCTCTGTTTTGGTATAAATTTTTTTGTGCCTTTATCATATATTTCACAAAACTTGCCATACATCTCATTCACTTCCTTGCCTAGCATCAAGTCTGTCCAATTATACTCACTAAAAAAAATTTCTAAGGTCACCATAATGTCCTCTCCTGAAGTCTGGTTTTTCAACTGCTTCAACCTCCTTATTTTCTTCCAGCTTATAACGCATTGCATACTTTATTCCCAAAAAGACATGGTCACTTTTACCCAAGGGAGGAAGGTACTGAATGTCAAATATCTCTTCCTCCTTCCTGGTAAATATCAAATCTAGCATGGAGGCACCCAGGCAACAGCATCCACCCAGACTACCACCACAGCAGACCAGTCAACCTCATCACCTGCCCCCACCAGCCAGAGACGGAAGAAAATGAGAGCAAAAAGGAGACCAAAAAGTCAGCAAGTGGAAACAGAATCAGATTCAGATGCAGAGTTCCAAGAAGCCTTGGCTGAGACCTTCACATATGAGGCCCCAGACTTCGACCTAAACCCAAGCAAATCAAGCAAGAAAGTGCCCTGCTATGGACTTTACCTCAATCACGGTGGCACTTTCAACAGCAATCGAAGCACAAGAATGGTCATTGCCTTAGAATGCAACAGGATCATCAACCAGCTCAGGACCAGCATTCCTTACCCTGTGTTTGTCCACCACGAGACCGTGGAACATTATGTAGACCTCTGCGCCCTGGAGAGTGGATACATCGACCCTAAATTCGACTTCAAGAGGGGACAAGTGACCTTCCTGGAAGAAGATGAAGACCCGACAGGAACACCAATACCAAAGCTAACATTTGGGAAGTACATGCGAATACCTCCTGGCCAAGACACCACCAAGCAACAGTGAACTTACCTCTCACCACCTCAATAAGGAAGACGCCTCCTCCAAGCCAGACAGACCACCTCAAGTGAACCAGGACGACATCACCCTGCCCCACCACTAGCCTCCTGCCGCCCAAGAAGAACTTAAGCTACAGGCTTTGACTGAAAAACATCTCCAATCCAAGGTGGACGGGCCACCGAACTTTCAAGCCTCCTCTCTCCACATCCAAATCCTCTTCCAAGAATTTCATCGCCCCATCCTTCTTCCTCCCACATCCTTTCCAAGCTCTTTGGACATCAAAGCGAAAGCGAAAGCATGGAGGGAACGTCCCCTTCCCTCATCCTCGTAGCTTGTTTAACATGTTGATACAAGAATGTTTCCAGGATGAGGTCTACAAATTTACAGGTCCAAAAATCTTCTGTTTTAGCTTCATATGCTTCCCAGTCTATGGATTTCAAGTTGAAGTCACCGACTATCAACAGTCGTGATCTATCGTTATCCGCTCTCGCTATAATCTCTCTCATTATTGTTATAAGACCTTCACGTTTACTATCTAGCTCCTCCTTTGACCATGTGCTGCTTGGCGGTGGACTATATGCATTTATCATCATTAGTTTATCATCCTCATAGCAGATCTCTAGTGCTATTATGTCAACTTCTTGTGGATTGGCAGTCATTATTTCCTTCACCTTTAGGTGTTCTT